CATCTGGGTATATAATTATGTTTTAATTTATTAAATAAAACTTTCTTATTTTTTTTTTCTCAAATATTTAGACCATTTAAATTAGAATTAATTGATAAAAAAGAAATTAAATTAAATAACCGTTTTCTTTCAGTAAGTTTTTCAAAAACAGGCGCATTGCTTAGTGTTCAACATTTACAACATGATGAAAAAATATCTTTTACAACAAATGTTATTCATTATGGTACATCAACACAAACAGATCATAATAGTGGTGCATATTTATTTTTACCTGATGGTGAAGCAAAAGATATTCCTATGGGTGATCATGATGTTATACGTATTCAACGAGGTTTATTAGTTAATCGTGTTGCTATTCTTCATGAAATGTATGCTTTACAATATAAATTAACAAATATAAATGGTTAAAATTCAATATGAAAATATTTATTAGACAAAATGAAAGATTTCATTTTTGTTTTTTAGGTTCAGATGATTATATTGTTGAACTTAGTGCTACCACTCATTTAAATATGAATCAAGATATTGAATTAGCTTTGAGATTTACGACTGGTATTAAAAATGGTGATGAATTTTTTACAGATCTTAATGGATTTCAAGTAAGAATATAAAGAGATGTGCAGGAACTTTTTTAAACTCTACTACCGAAAGAGTCAGTACGTTACTATTTCAATTCATTTGATTTTTCTTATAAATTTTAAAGCAGTTGATTAGAAAAACGTAAGCGACAACTTATTTTGTTCTTTGAAAAGAAAATGTAATTCTTATTTTTTTGTACCTGGTTCACTCATTTTCCCTGTCGAAATAGGAACATGAAAGATCTTAAAAGATTTTATTGACTTGAAGTATACTTCATATAGACAATAGAATGAGTTAAGTACTCAAAATGAAAAACTTCATCGCTCATGTTTTCCTAATCAACCATTCAAAACTTATGACAAGAATAAAATATGCTGAAATTGTAACGTACCTACTCGGTCCGTAGCAGAATTAGTCGAACACTAAAAAGTTTTATAAATATAAAATCTATATTCGAGTTAATTAAATTAACAGGAAATATGTTTTTTTAGATTATAAGATTTATTGTGCAAATAGTCATAATCGTAATTTTCTAGAATAAATGTAGTGGTGGAACTAGAAAGAATTTTAGGAGAGGAAAGAGTAAGCCTTAGTCTAAAGCTAAAAACTGACGTATTCCTCTAATGTTAATGATGGGCCCTACGAAAGGTTCAACAGCCCCCCCTCCCCCACCGTCACTAAATAAATTGCAAGTTCAGGAAAAATTATACTAACAATAGAACCGTATCAAGTACTAAAAAGCTTTTGAACTAAAATTTTGTCTATAAATAGGATATGTTTAAACTAAAGAAAGTCTAAGAAGATATGAATCAAAATTCCAGAATCTTTGAACTCATCATCTTCGAGATATAAATTTTCAACAACATTTATACATAACACAATATCCATAAAAAAAAAGTGTTTTTACGCTAAAATACTTCTAAATAGGAAATGACTCGTTAAGAAATCCTGAAACTTTGATTCTACTGCAAAAGTAGCGATCCTGCAAACAGGGCTTCTATATGCTGATAAGATCTTTCAAGAATCTAATAGTGTTATTTAGTGTTATGTATATAAGACTAGGGTTTTTTTGTATGATTTTATCTGATCTTACAAGACCGTATGTCTGATTTTTTTACCAATGTAGTTGAAAGATTTGTTTTTGTTTTGTTCGATTATATTTTTTAATGTATTATATTTAATTAACATAGATGATACGACGAAAAACTTACAGTAAAATACAATTACAAGGTAATGTTTATCCAATGCCAACAATGGCTTATATTGAAGATGATCATATGAGATTTACGGTTCTTTCTGGTCAACCGTCCGGTGTAGCATGTTTAAAATCCGGTAATTATTTTGAAAAAAAAATAATAATTCTCTTTTTCAATTATTAATTAAAATTTAGGTGTTGTCGATGTTTTTCTTGATCGTCGTTTAACTCGTGATGATAATCGGGGTTTAGGACAAGGTGTTACCGATAATCGAGAAATTATTAGTACTTTTAAACTTCTATTTGAACCACGTCATACAGTATGTAAAAGTAATTTTATAAAACAATATTTGATTGGTTCTTTTTGTTTTTAGATTGCTGATAAAATATCATTAACAGGTTATCCAACATTATTAGCTCATCATCATTCAATTGAACTTCTATATCCTATGCATATATTTCAATCAACATCGATAAAAATTCTTCAACATGAATTAAATTTATTTTCCAAAATAAATCTATTTCCGAGTGATTATCATTTAGTTAATTTACGCACATTAAATGAAAATCGTGATGATTCAAAATATAGCCCATCGAAAAATTTAGCATTAATTTTACGAAGATTTGCTTATGACTGTGATGAAATTTATGATAGTTTATTCCATTTTGAACAAGTAATTATTTATTTATTTATTTATTTGAAATCATATTTTTTATTTTTTTGTTTTAGCCAATATCTGAACATTTCTTTCAAGCTAATCAGATACAATCAATTGAACAAACTTCATTATCACTAAGACATGTACAAAATCAATTGGCTGTGACATCCAAACTTGATGTACCGATAGCAGAAATAACGACATATAAAATAAAAATGAAATAGACAATAAACAATGCTGTTTTTGTTTTCTGACGCAAAGAAACGGTTTGCTTTTAGAGCATATAATATTTTATACGGAAAAGCTTGGTCGAATTACAGAGTGTTTTTTTTTATGTTATACTAATGTTTTGTATTAACGTATGTTTATGTGAATTTTTACTAAGTTAAGTGGAGTTTGTTTTCTTTTTTTTTTCTTTTTGACATGCTGTATGTTATGGATTTGTTTATAGTATATAACAAAATAAATGGAACATCGTGTGACAATGTTCTATAGTCAATAAAGATGATGCCAGAAAGAAGAGAAAAAAAAACGTTATTGACATATCATGAAATGACTCTAGACAAATATTATTCATGTCATTCGAAGTAGAATTTCCTTTTTCTCCTGTTTTTCATGATTGGTGAGTTTCATGTGTGCATTCGTCGTACAGAAATATTATAATATAACTATACCGGAAGCCATGCCAGGTAATAAATGACGAATATAAAAGTATTAGTAATGTCTGTATGGCATAGAGTGTTGAGTGTTCTGCTTAACAGACCCCAATATCCGTTTGATTGTAAATATATATGAGATATTTTAAGTAGGGCATATAATGACATTTTTCTTTAGAAATGATATCTTTACATAAGTACGAATATATATATATATATATATATTTCAATCGTTCTATCATTATTTATCTGGTCATGAAATAATTAATCTCAGCAAAAAGCAAACACATACGGTAACGTCAACGGGTTAGTGTCAGCATTCTTTCTGAGATGCTTCTTTCTTCTCTTCTTTTTTTTTTGCATATTGCATATTCGGGTTTACACTAAAAAACAATATCGTTTTGCTTGGCTTCAAGAACAGTAATACTAATATTACTGCTAATAATAAAATGTCTATTGAGAGCAACAGAGAGAGAGAGAGAGAGAGAAGGAATTTATAAGTGTATGTGTCTGTGAAGCGAGAAAATGACGAACAAAAATGTTTAGCATATTAGACCTCGCTTTTAGTAATTTGTTCATAGTATATAATGGTAAGTCATCAGTAGAAAAGGAAATGAGGGGGGAGAGAAAAAAAAGGAAGAAACCAAGCTTGAAAATGGCAACTAAGCATGCATGCAATAAAAGACACGGCTAATAACATTCCTGATAGAAAAAAAGTTAACTATATGACGCGAATACGAAAATTTAACACAACTATCTTTACATTTTAACATAATCACAACATCACTAATGAAGTATACCAATAAGTGGAACTACATCATATATTTTTCAACCACTTCAAAAATCAAGATGCTTGTGACCTCATTTAATCGATCACAATACCACATGGAAAAAAAATCATTTTAAGCAAACAAAAGAAAAGAATAGTATAACATGAATCAATGATTGAATGCTATTATTTTCTTCATTTCATGATTCCTAATATTTATTGATGATAAAGACAACGACAACGGTGGCGAGAATGAGAACGACGAATAGAACAACTGCAAACGAGAAATTCCCCGTGGAAGAAGTTTCACTCTGCTATTCGTTAGCAAGTAAGAACCAAGAGTACGACCGACGAGGAGAGAGAGAGAGAAAAACAGAAAAATATGACGCGCTAATTTTAGTATAATATAAAAATTTTCATTCACTACCATTGCTTGAGTGAACAATCATATTGACATATCGATCCCATTGTTCAAATTATATAGTCTTGTTTTATTGAAAGGTTTCAGCTTTTCTGACATTGCTAACGTTTAGCGCTAAATTGAATAGGCAATACTTATCGAGTTGTTTTGTCTGGATGAGATTACTAGGACCAACGCTTAGGACAATATATAGCTAGATAGATAGATAGATAGATATATAGAATAAGAGAAGAACAAGAAAGAGCAGAACCCAACGCATTAGACTCAATTTGTTGTTATGTCGATGATGACGAAGCGAATAGAAAAATAAGGAAAGAACAACAGAAATAGAAAACAGAAGATAGTGGTTTAACCCAAAATCATAGTAGCACGAATAATGACGATGATGGTTTCATCAATACTCCACGCCTCTAGTTCTCTCTCTCTTTCTCTTAATAAAAACAACGACTGTAAGGTTTTATATGTCGATTATTAGAAATAAATAAGGTGTACTTGTTTAAATATGACAGATTGAAATAATTTTAGCATCCAATTGCTAACTTTTGGACTTTTTCTTTCTAAATAGAATCCAATTATTAATTTATATTTCGTCTTCTTTTTTTCTTTTTTAAAGATATGCTTTATTTATATTTCATATAATTATTATTATGATTTAAAATAAAAATTATTATTTTCTTTTTTCTTTTGTCTATAAACAAAATATGTTATCGAATGATAAACGATGAAATTTGTAAGTATGAACTATAAATTATTTGATGTAATTATATTTATTTGTTAAAATAATAGCTATCTAGTATTTATCTATCGATATTTATTCATCAATTACGAACAATACTCATTGTTGTTGCAAAAGAAACATGTACAATGGCAAAATTTGTTTGCTATCAATGTGATTCACGTGTTGATGATTATTGTGGTGATCCATTTAAAATTCATCGAGCTAATCGTACAGTTGAATGTTCTGATTATTGTGTGAAATTTTTTCATTTTGATGGTACATCAACAAATGATACATTTGTACGACGTGGTTGTTTAACTGATTATTTTCTATATCGTTTATCTAAAATCGATGTTTGTTATCGACATACAACTGGTTCAAATTTTACAATAGGACGTTTTTGTATGTGTGCAAAAGAAATGTGTAATCAAGCTTCATCTAACAAAACATTATCATTAGATTTTATTTTTCTCATTACTTTTCAATTACTAATATTAATTGAACTTAAGACGATATTTTCGTAGTATTAACATGCCTTTTCTCTTTGTTTTTTTGTCTTTTTTGTTTTTGTGTCTATCATTTATGGATGCATGCACTTTCTTTTCTATTTCTAATATGAATGTAAACATACATATATATTGTCCAACGGCGAGACAAGTGTAGACAATACGATTTTATATGTACAACAGTTTGCATTTGTTTCTTTTCTTCACAATCTATTTAATTAAGAGTTAAATTATCACATGATGAAATATTAATGAGTACAAAGATAAATCACTCATAGAACGTAATTTCGACTCTCGATTTTTACTTCATTTACATTAAAAAAAAAGGAAAGAGTAATCATTATGGAAATTACCATTATTTTTTTTTATGTGCTTTGTTGTCGTAAGAAAACTTTTACATTATAGCCATCATCATCATCATCATCATCATTATTACCTATGACGGTAGGGTATGTACACATATTCGACGTCATTCTTTACCTTCCGAAAAAAAAAAGAAAAAAAAACCGTCGACGAAAATGACGCGTAAAATAGCTTGTACATCCGGCCTCGTCCGAGATAAACGAAAAGAATAAGAAGACGAAGACGAAGAAGAAGAAAGAGAGAGAGAGAGAGAGCGTGGGGGAGAGAGGGAGAGAAAACAGAAAGGTGAGTATAGAGACGGAAGAAATAACGAATTTGAGTTTTGTTGAGTAAATGGTGTTGGAGGACATTAACAAGAGAAGGATAAGATGATCAGTTAGTTTTTTTTTCATTCCTTTTTATCGTTACATCATTATTCATGGTTTTATTTTCCTTGGAATTCTTGGCTCGCCAAGGTTGACAAGAAATTTCTTCATTTATTCTTATGACATTATTCATTGTCAAATAGATACTCAACATAAGTGAAGAAGTGTGAAATATAAGACATAACCAAAAACGAAAAAAAAGAAACCAAGTAAGTATTTTTTAACAATTCGTGTTTTTTTTCGTTATCTATTATTTACGCTCGAGTATATTCATCAATTAATTCGATAAGATTAAAGTTTATTTTTTTGTTTGTTCCACTCATATATATACTCTATGATTTCATTAGAGAAAATGAGCGAAACTTGGTCGAAAGAAAAATGTTGCAAACAGAAAAATCTCCTACTCTTTTTCGGCAATATGTTGATGAACCAACAGATGATGATGGGCCTATTGCTCAACGAGTGCATAATACATATAACCTAATGCACACATATCAATGCGTGGATTTTGTTCGTAAACAATATGATCGGTGGTTAAAATTTGATCATGATCGTATGACAATTTATCAAGCAATAAAAAAATTAATTACATATGTTGATGAAAGTGATCCTGATGTTGATGTACCAAATATCTATCATGGATTTCAAACAGCTGAAGCTATACGAAAAGCATATCCCGACCAAGATTGGTTCCATTTAACAGGCCTTATACACGATTGTGGAAAAGTTTTAGGTCTATATAATGAACCACAATGGGCTGTTGTTGGTGATACATTTCCTGTTGGTTGTCAATTTAGTGATAAAATTGTTCTTCATAAAACAACGTTTGAAAAAAATCCTGATTTAAATAATGAAATCTATTCAACTAAATATGGGATGTATAAGCCAAATTGTGGTCTTGATCAATGTACGATGTCGTGGGGACATGATGAATATCTTTATCGTGTTTTGATTAATCATCCGACATGTACATTACCCGATGAAGGTTTATATATCATACGATATCATTCTTTTTATCCTTGGTAAGAGTTCTTTTCTATTTGAAAACTACTTTAGAGAAACATCATTAATCTTTTAGGCATACAGGCAATGACTACATGTATTTATGTAATGAGAAAGATCTTCGAATGTTAGAATGGGTTCAACGTTTTCAAAAATTTGATTTATATTCAAAAGATGATAATGATCTACCAAATATTGATGAACTTGAATCATATTATTTATCGCTAATTGAAAAATATATTCCAGGCATAGTTGCTTGGTAAACGTGGTTGGTTCTTGATTTTATTTTTCAATGATTCATTTGATTAATCTTAAAAAATAAATAACACCGAGAAAAAAAATTAATACTTACGAAAAAATAAAAGTTCCTTTTAACTTATTTTTTATTCATTTCTAGATTTTTTTTCTTTATTCATACATGCATAACATACCGTTGAGTACCTTTACACTTCAATTTCAATGTCTTTTGCATGATGAGGCCATAGAAATTCGTCTTTTTTTTTTTCATTTTAGTTAATAGAATGTATCATCATTCTGAAAAATATAGCGATAATTCATCGATATCATCGTCTAATGATGGAATATTTTTGGGAACAGCAAGAGAAAAACGAGCAAAATTATTGAAAAAACTACATTTCCCTCAACACCGAAATGAAGAACCTGAAGATCGACAATTTCCAAGCTCGTCTTCTCAACTAAGCAATGAGTTGTTTACATCTGAATTTGGTTCTTTTTATCATCATCATCCAATTTCTCGTACGCTTAGTGTTGATAGTATATCATCATCAACAAATCCAACAGCTGCAGCTGTTCTAATAAATGAACATCAAATACCACGTACATCAAGTCAAACAAGTCTTAATTTGAATCGTGCAAGTCCTTGTCCATCGAATATTTCATTTTCCTATTCAAATCCAAAGTATTTTGTTCGAACAGATATATTTCGTCCTCCCTCACCATTAACAACTAAAGCAACAATACATTATGAAAATGTTATTGTAAGTGATTAAAATTTTATATTTATTCTATTTTTTTTTCTGACATTGTTCTTTTTTATTTATAAAAAATAAAGCAATCTTCATTATTGACAGATAAACACAAATTAAGTTTTAATCAAGATGAATCAACACTTCGATCACTAACACCAGGACCAGATTTTTCTACTGTTCAGAGTGATTCAATAACTCTTGATGAATTAATCGATCGATCAACTCCAACATCAACTAGTACACCTGAAGTAATAAATAAATAAATTCAAAAGAATAAAATGATCTTTTATCAAAATAAGCCATTGTTTTTTCAGATAACATTTCTCTATCCCGCACTTCTTTGTTGTCGAACACATATTAATCCAATGCTATTATTTAACAAGATAGCAAAATCTACCTTTAGTAATTTGACACGCTGTACTGAAGTATGAAATATCTTATTTTAACAATAAACAAATAACATATTACTGTTTTTATTGACATAGGAACAACGAACAGATTTACTTCTTAATTATCTTTCAATGTTAAATCATTGGACAAAAACATTTTCATATGATTTTCATACACCGGCATTAATGAATCAACTTGAACGTGTAACAAATCAAATTGTTAAAATTGATCCAATGTTTGGACCAAATGCTAAATTACTCTTATCGGATATTATGGCAAAAGTATATCATTACAAAAAAAATATTATTGTAACTTAGTTTTTTATTTTTGCTTCATTAGCTCAATATTCTCGAACGATATGAACAATATTTACAATTAATTGACAATGAAATAGCTAATCGTTTAACAACTTCTGCTTTAACAGTATGTTTCTATTTTTGTTCTTGTTGTTTTTTTTTTAATTTGATTTCGATTTTTTTCTATTAATTAATTAGACTGACATTTATGAGCAATGTCCATGTCCAAAAGAATTTGCACATCAATTGACACATATTGAATTAGTATGTGTATATGCATATATAAAACAGAATTTATAATTAATCAGAAAAAACTATATACATATATATATTTATTCCATTTTTAGGATAGACTTAAAGCAATTGGAGCAGAAGAATTTATTAATATGAGTTCATCAGATTCTCATTCGACAAAACCTTCATCATCATCAAATTCTTGGACCCATTGTCTTGAAGCATATATTAGTTGGAGTAATCGTTTATCATCTTTTGTAACAACAGAAATTATTAAACATTTAAAACGACATATTCGTGTTAAACTTCTCAATTATTTTATTGATGCAGCACTTGAATGTTTTAATACAGGAAATTTTAATTCAATGATGGGAATTTTAGGTAATTATATGCATTGTTATTAAGCTATAGTAATGAACAGAATATCCGTCATTTTCGAAAAAAAAATTTTTTTTTGTCGGAATCTCTACAAGTAGCAAAAAAAATCTTACATTTATTATAAAGGAGAAATGCTTAATTAAAGTTTATATGTTCTGTAAGATGCATATTCCAAGATGCAAAAAAAATATTGATTATAAAATATATAATAAACTCATGTTTGACAATATAGATCTCATGAGACACAAAAAATTTCTCGTGTATAGCTGCAACTCTTGAGAGAGAACGAGCAACAAGAAGCACTCAATGCTCATTAACATTTATGTTTTAACTTAAAACAAAATCATGAAAATCTATATCTTCAAGGACATAATTCATTTCGAATGTTTACCCTTTTATTTTTCTTTAATACGATTGGTAATCGTCAGTTATAGACTTTTAATATATTCTATCGCAGTCGAAATTTATCCTTGAATTGAAGTTCTCTTATATGTGTGTATATATATTAACATGACGTTTTGTTATTAATCTAGGTGGTCTTAATATGTTGCCTGTCAAACGTCTAAAGAAAACGGTATATTCTTTCAATAGTCATATAAAACAATATTTAATGTTTTTGCTTCTTTTTTAGTGGAGTAAAGCAAACCGTGCGAAATTGGATACATTAGAAAAATATATGAATCCAAGTAAAAATTTTTGTATTTATCGATCGATTATGAAAGCTGCAACGCAAAGAGCAGAAAAACATAATTGGCAACCGGGCATGGTAAAACTCTTCTTTTTTTAAATAATTTTATTAAAAATCTACATACGTTTTTTTACAAGGTTATTATTCCATTTCTGAGCATTTTTCTACGTGATGTTTATTTTATTAAAATTCGTTCACCGGATTTAATTGTAACAGATGATGGTCGAGAAGAACTTAATCTTAAAGTAAAAATTGATTGACAAGGGAAGGTCACCAACTATTCAATCACTTTTTCACCGAAATCTAGTGAATTATAGGTAATCGACCTTGCTTATAATTCCAAAATATCAACATGATTTTTTTCGCTAGACCTTCATAGATTTGGTTTTCTCGAAAACCAGCTTCCTCTAGCAAAAAAACTGTTTTCGTCAAAAATATTTTTTCATCCGTCTAATTTACAGAACATCTTGATTTCAGTATGGAAAACTATTCCTTTTAACATTTAAACCATTAGAGAAGGAGTTAGAATAGAGGTTGCTGGGTCCAAAATTTGCGGACCCAGGATTGATCAATCCGATGGACTCTAGATTGGAGAAGCAAGAAGATTTGTAATGCTTGAACATCCATAGGTTTTTCATACTACATGATATTATTGTGCTGAATACATATCGCTATTACATTACACTATGTTGAATCATGATATTTAGATATCTATAATACACCCTGCAGCTCCCCGAAGAACTTCGAATTCTGATCTTTTGAGGAGATCCGATGACGGAAAAAACTTGAGGTTATGAATGACGGTGAGGTATCCCCTTCCCGACACTATCATCCACACTACTAAAACAAATGTAAAATAATTCCTTCCTTGGTAATGACAAACTGATTGTATTAGGAAAATGAAAGGACAAGATATCTTTTACGGTCGTGTAAGACTTGCGTCCAATGTGATATTCTTAAGACTCATGTGTTCTAAAATTTTATGCGAAAATTATTGAGTAACAATTAGTACAGTATTTTACCTAAAGTAGATCAAAAATTGAATGGAAAATCTGAAAATGAACCGAATCTCATCCGAAAAAAAGAAAATAATAGAATTAGTCATAAAACGTTATTAGTTCAAATCTTGAAAAGCGTAGTTTTTCTTGTACCCAACTCGAGACACTCTATAAGTCAGACGGAGCAAAAAAATAATTTTGAAGCAAAAAGGTTTTCATTATAGAAAACTGGTTTTCGGAAATGCTACGTCTTTGAAGGCCTCGTAGCAAAGATTTATGTTGATATTCAAAAGCAGCATAACTAATTACTAATAATCCGCTAGATTTTGGTTAAAAAGTGTTTGAACAGTTGGTGACTTTCGCTTGTGGGTGTTTGTTTTTAATATAAATTCAACTTTCTTTTTTTTGTTTAGAAATTTTATATTCTAGCTCGCTTTATTTCAGAAGACTTTATTCGATGTAAATCAAGTAAAGTAAGATTTTCAATGAATTACATTTCAGTATTTAAATATTGAACGAATTTTTTAGTGTTCATTTGCTCGTTATGAAAGCATTATTAATTATGTAGTAACAAGTCCTGTATTTAGTGAAGATTGTATGTATTGAAAAGATATTATACATAGAAATTTTTTAAAACCTTTTTTCTAGCTTTAATGGCGGCTAGTTTTGAATGTGAACCACCTGAAACGGAACAGGATCGTCATCAACTTCGATCTGTAAGGTAAATGTATTTATTATTGTACAAAAAAACGAAATCGTTCTTGAACAATTTCTTTTTTTCTCTTAGAGCTAAGTTAGGTTTTTAAATATGTATTAAATTGATGGCACATGAAAGAAACAAATGTTTTTGATAGTAAATCAACACATTGATCTGGTTATTTTTTAATGTTTGTGACAAACAATGGAATCCATGAATCTGATGAAAATACACATGAATTTGTTTATGTTATTTTATTTTTTCTTGTACTTATTTGAAAGATTTTATTTAAAAAAAAATAATAAACTTAATGATTATAATGATCATTGAATTGATTCGATTGTATAATATAAAAGATCGAACTTTTCCATATATGAAAGTAACAATTAATCAGTGTCAAGCTTCAATGCTTTTTTATTTTAATTTTGTAGTATTTATCAATCACGTGACTTATTTACATAAAAATAATAAGAAAAAAAGATGACAATCATCATACAAATCATCGGCTCGTGACATAGACAGAATGACACACATGTTCGCATTCTACGAATGCAATAGGTCAATAATGTATTTTTTTTATTTGGATTTATTTTGAGCTATTCAACATACTCGAGTCAAAAAAATCAAGCGAAAAATCACGTAGATCAGATGAAATTGTGTTCTCTGCATAATATACGATTTTTGCAAGATTATACTATCTTTTTACAAGATATAATATAAAGTAGTCAGATCTTGTAAGAATCATTGTTTTATATGGATAATACATATGGTTGTTTTTACTTTTGAAAAACATTAAAAAAGCAGAAGTATGAAAACAGAGTCATACAAAAGTATAATAGTATACAAGAACTTAAAAATAACTATTTTTACAAGCATTCGAAAACTCTAATGAGATGTTGTAAGATTACATTTGTTTATTTATCGACTAAACGATAAATAGAGGTATTACTGACGATCAGGAGAGAGAATTTATTTTAAGAAATATTGTTAATCATTACCATCGTTTCAGTTTACTGATGTTGAATAATTTAAGAATACCTTTAAGGTTAGATTATGAATCATGCGAATATATTAAGCCGAAAAGAATAGATTTTTACTTAGTCAAAATAGTTCATGGTATTTATCTTACTTCCAAAATAGAACTAAGAAAAATCTTAAATTTTGTCCTACATAGAATAATAAGAAATATGTCAAGTGACCTTTAATCTCTAATGATATGATAAAGTAAACAAATAAACATTTTTCTTTTGCTTGGTACTTTTCGACTACGTTCAAGTAAACTGAAATTCATGTTTCATTTTGTTGTCAGTGGTAGTTGTTGGCATTATTTATTTCGTTATGTAACTAGGTGCATTGTGGTCGTCTTTAACTACGAAAAATAAGGCGTTATGTCTGATTTATAGATATAATGAGGTACCGAAGTAGCAGCTAATCGACTTACTTTGTTTACATATTTAGTTCAATGTTAAAAGACAAAAAAAAATATTTGATTCAACATGATCAATCAATATGAAAAGAAAAAGTTTTTCAAAATACAAAAATTACTTGAATCTCTTATTTTGTAAATGAAATGGCTATTTCAATTCAATTAGAAAATAGTTGTCTAACAGCTATTTTATCGAACATAAAAAGAAACATTCAGTTAATGAAATATGTGCATATGTTAAACGAAATCCATTTTCACCTAAAATAGGAATAACAGATTTCACTTTAGTTCGTATTAATAAATCTCTTCTAAAGTCTATAGAAGATTTAATCATTATTGGTTTTGATGAAAAACAAGTAAACTTTAAAAAACAAAATTTATAAACTACAATTTATCTAAAAAATAACAACCTAAAATATTACAGATACTCGAAGAAATATTAAATATAAAAGTTGATTTAGTTGATCCACAAAAACTAGCTATATTAGCACAAGTAGTTACAGTAGTTTACTTTCGCAACGTGAAGCTTTTATTTTATCTGAAACATATAGAAATATGCATGATTCAACAGGAAATTCTTTAAAAAAATGTCATGTTTGATGAAATTTATAATGTCATTGAATATCGATTCAAAGGGAAAATTCCTGAATAGATTAAATTTTCTTAAAACTGAGTTAATTCCCGTTAATGAATATTCATTTAAAATAATGATGCAAAATTCTTCATCTCTTGCCTACAATAAATCATTGAATCTATTTACACTTCTGTCAAAACGTTCATTTACACCATGAAAAGATGACTATCAAATAAAAACAAAGTTTCCTACTCAAATAACATCTGAAATGCGTATTATCGATTGAATAATTACACATGATATTTTATATTCAACTGGAATTGTTGAACTATGAGCTGAAAACAATTATTAGGTATTATTCAAAAACTACCTTTAATCATATTGAAGAACTGAAAAGATCCTAAACCAAGGGGGGAAAAGCGAGATTCCATCAGTTGGAGTACAGCTGAAGTACAGGTGAAGTACAGTGAAGTCTAGATGAAGTACGAGGAGTACGTACTCAGTGGACTCCACTGTACTTCACCTGTACTTTAGCTGTACTCCAACTTATTGAGTCTCGCTTTTTCCCTCTTGTCCTGAACATATATCATATTTCAGCATTACGTCTTGGAATAATCAATCTTTAGTCTAGAATTCGCTTTCAAGTCGAAATCGTAAATAATTCATGTCCTATATAATGAGTCAGCGAGCATCTTATAAACTCTTATCTTAAGAAATAACTCAAACACTAATTATGTAAT